ACTGTAGATCAAAGCAATGCGCATGCCCACAAAATTTACTATATGTTAGGCACCTTTTCTTGCTTATTTTTCTGCAATTTGTTATGAGAAATGACTAGTTTTAACAAAGGATGAGAAGAATGGCCTACAAGTAGAAGCGGAATAATTATAGTGATAGAAATTGCAATTTTTTGTAGCCATAGTCACCGTTCTATATACATCTCCATTATGGCACGGTACGCACTAGTTCATTCCCAGTCATCAAGAAAGACATCTGGTCTCTTGCAAATGGGTAGTTTACCTTCCCAATATTTTATGGAATGGGCAAAGAGATAAATCCCTGTGGGATCCCTGTGTTTGCGATTTTACAAAATTTTGAATTCCCCCACCCGTTTTCTTTGAACCTAAAACAATGACGTGAATTTTCCCCTTTCCAGGGGAAGACAGTCCAATCCATCTCATTATATTCGCCCATAAATTCCCCTGGTTGGCCCGGGGTCCTACCCCTGGGGGAAGCCAATGACATGTGCATTATGGTAGGTGGTCACTTTCTTGATTCAAACCACAGGGAGTCTTTTGCAAGGTGAGGTTATTGACACATCTACTTTTAGGGCTTCTTCACATGAGCCCAGTTGACTTGGCTGGCCTGGCTACCGGGACCAATAATTTCACCTTGGGTTCATATGAGAAATTTCAGCCTCGTTTGAGTTTGTGGTGCAAAATTCGAGAAACAAAGCAAACATGGTGAAACACAAAGTTATAACTTTCACGCCTATTGTAGCTTTGGCAACTTTTATAGAGCTCTGTATCACTGCAGTTATTAAAATGGGATGCTTATGATTTGGAAAATACAGCATGCAAAGCAAGATGATGCCATCCAGGCATGGTCTGCCCCGCTTTCATCCCAGAAACTGGGCTGAAGTGTTTATATGGCAAAATTTTCTAGCCCACTTTCCGAGATTCTGGTTGGAAAATCTGAAATCTCAGGAACCAAGTGAGCCCGCCCTCTCATATGAACACATCAAAAATTTTACATAGGATTTAAAGGTAAGGGTAGGGTGAGATCTCAGAAACTGGGCGGGCCAGCCCGGGTCAACCGGTCTCATGTGAAGAGGCCCTTATAAGTAGTCTTTGGAAGTAGAATTTATTACATACAGGTTCAATTTTATGATACTTGTAGTTCCATGTTGTCACTAAGAATTCTTTGTATGTTCTGAGTAGCATTAAGTTCCTGTAGTACATACATGTAAGGTGTTTTGTTTTAAAATTATCCAAACTTCCCCTGCACCCTGGGCCAACAGCCAGTTCATACATGTAGTTTGCACAAATCCCTTTCTGGGGCTGTGCTCACCCCATGCTCCCTCTTAGGCATATTCCAGCTATTTATTAATTAGCCATTATTGATTGAGGTTTCAGGAGTATCATCTGAAGAATGTGGATAACACCCTCTGAGATCTCCACAATTATTCTTCAGATGATACGAAAGCTGAATTCAATAATTGTTTTTGATTATTCATTCAAAATAATCCCTAGTTTAAGAACAAGCTAAAACATGCTGTAACTTCCATCAATGTTAAGTCCATCTTTGGTAGTGCATGTTTATCGGCAATTTTGCGGCACGATTGATGTCATCAGTTCACATACAGTTGACTCCTGATAACTCAAACCTTCAAGGGAGATAGAAAAAAGTTGAGTTATCGGGAGCTCGAAAAAAATAGTGGGGAGTAAGGAAAAAAAACAGCTTTTACTGCACAGTGAACATTTTAATTAATCACAGTTAATTGTAGAAATGTTTTAAAAGTGAAAATTGAAAGATACTTCTAGACTAGATCATAAATCAGAATGTAATATAACAAAACATTGCCTAAAATGTGTTTTACTGTTTTGAGAAGTAAAACTGTTTCATGTTAGATTTGTGAGAAACAACCTCCACTAGTAAACTATATGCCTACAACACGTCAATGGGAAATGCAAGATTCAATGTTTTGGACGCCAGTAGTCTGTTTTTTTTTTTACTTTGTGAGGGCTCAAAACATGGTTCGAGTTATCGTGGGTAAAATTATGTAGAACAACAACATCTTTTATTTAAAGATGGTGGGTTTCAAAGCTAATATAGCTTACGGGGGCATGTAAAAAATGTTAATAAAATAATAAAAATTATTAAAATTGAATGTCGTCAATAAAAGGTGAAATATGTACAATAAAAGATATGAATAGAATCAATAAAAGATGAAATTACTGTCAATTTGGGGACAGCCCATTGAAGTTCAAGTTTCTGAGGGCATGCATAAGACTTTTTCCCTGGCGCTAACAGCAGATTGTTCTAAAAGATTCCAAACAATGGATCCTCTGTAAGAAGTAGCGTTTTTCATATAATAAAGTTTTAAAACGTTGTACGCTAACATAATGTTGATGACGGAGGTCTCTTACTCTTTCCTTTGGATTATATAGTTCCAAGCATGACGGAGTTATGCAGTTGCATGTAGATATTATAAATTAAAGTGGCTCTCACGCCTGCGGGTTGAAAACTTTGATCTCACGCCGGCTCACGCTTGCGGGCCAATTTCTCACGCCTGATTGAAAAATGTGAGTTGTTGCCGTCTTGCTTGACACAATTTCCAAAAATATGTTAACTCAGACCCATGTAAGGAACGAAAACTATGTGTAAAATGAATAAATGACAATACCTTCCTCGCGATCTCTGATTTTTGAAGTGGAAAGCACTGGGAGCGAGCTCGCCTTCAGCAGTGTTCGGCAGACTTCGGACTATTTTGACCTTAAAAGTGTCGAATAAAGAGACCCAGTTAGCTGTTTTTCTTGCATCCTCAGAGGGCATGTCGCGGGAGAGGTTATGTATAACTGTAGCTGCCCTACAATGTATGGATTCCAAAGAATTAAATTCATTTTTATTTGTACAACACCCCAAAATTGATAGCGCTTAAACTATAACCGAGGTTAATGACTGAGAAATGTAGAAATGATCTGAGGGGAAACAAAAACTACTTTGAGTTAGCGGGAAGTTCGAGTTATCGAGGGTTCAAGTTACTGGGGGTAAAATTGCAGTAAATGTATGGTTTGTGTTAGCGAGGGTTCAAGTTACTGGAAATCAACTGTACCACAAAATTTTTCCAAATTTAGTCAACAGTAGCTGGTTATGGTGAATTATGCGTGGGATTTTAGCCGATCAGAAATATTTTTGAATGAATAATAATATTATTGGATGAGGCTGACTATGATCTGAAGAATTATGCAGATTGGGGAAGGTGTTATTAGCTGAGGCAAAATAACAACACTCCGAGATATGTGCATTTCAGACAATATGAAAGCTGAATCCAATTTTAATTATACAAGAGATTAAGGAATGTGTTATCTACCTCTGTTGGTAGCAACTGCCAAATTCTGCATATTTCTTCAGATGATTTAAAAGTGAATCCAATAGTTTTATATTATTCATTGAAAATGTTTCCATGAGCCGGGTGCATGAGGTACTTTGATTTTGAAACATATCCTTACCTCGATCGATGTTAAGTTCCTGTCTTCATTTGTTTGTCCCTTTGGCGCAAATTCGTGATATGAAGGGATGTCTTTCAGTCTAGCAGATAATTATTCTTTATAAATAGCAGTTGTCATCCATTAAGTTGTATTTGTTGTTCTCGGTATTGTTTTAGGCAGAATGTTGGTTATTTCTTCTTCACAAAATGAGTAAAATTCCACTATTAAAAGAACTGAGCTAATGCAACCTTGTTCCCAGGATTCTCGGTTGCTACCCTTTTTCTTATGATGATAGCCTATACTATTGATGTCATTTAACCGGGTATCACAAGTGTCTTCTAAATTTGGTCGATAGCTTGTTATGAAGGATATGAGCCAATCAGAAATGGAGAAATGTTTTGAATGAATAAAATTATTATAAATTTAACAGATAGGTAACTTAAATTAAGGTAGAAAAGAAAAATAAAACACACACAATAATGCTTAATACTAGAGGAAGAACCAACATAAGCAGCACTTCAGTTTCAAATTGTTTATTTAATAAGCATAGTGTTTTAAAAAGTGTGGGAAGGAGAAAATTGGGAGGTCTTTCAAATATTTTTTTTTCTTCCCAGAGGTCAACAGCTAGAGATTGACTTGACTGTTGATATTCAATCTTTTGCTTGGTTTTATAAAAGATTTTTAGGGGTCGATCATTATCTGTTGCTAGTCAAATTTGATTTCAGGTCAAGAAGTTCTTTAACCTAGGATGATTCTTAATTACCTTTGTCTTCTAGGACTAGGAAACAAATGAAATCAGGATTCAACCTACAATTTTGGACAGAATAAAATGGAATAAAGGGGAGTCTAAATTTTCCATCTATTTTTGACTGTTCAATATTGTAGGTTAAATCAAAATTAACCTGATATTAAACTTGGCCTGTAGCATAGTGAAATCTGGCAATTCCCAATACCTATCCCTATGACTTCTGAGAATTGCGTTTTTACTATAATAGTTATAATTGGAAAGTAAATGTCATTCTTGGCTTGTTGATGTTATTTATTTGTTCATGTAGTTTTATAATAAATCACAGGAAAAAATAACAGATTCCCATTTTTGGATATTTTAGGGTATTTAAAGAATACCCATAAAAATCCCAAATTTGGCAAAGTGAGCCAAGTCCCAATCAGGGAATTCCCAACCAGGTTGGGACTTAATGTCTCACTCTTCCAAATTTGGGATTTTTGTGGGTTATATATTCTTTAAATACCCTAAAATATTCAAAAATGGGAATCTGTTATTTTTTCCTGTGAATGAAATGATACGTGTGGAGAGAAGAACACAGAAAAAAATTCTGAGTTCCAGATGGGAATTGAACCCACGATCTTACTTACACTAGTCAGATGCTCTAACCACTGAGCTACTGAGAACTCAGTGGTGAGCAGGTCAAGGTGCAAAAAGGGGCCTTACATCCCTCCTGTCTTTCCTGAACTTTTTATTTCCTTATTTATTTTTCATTTGTTTATTTTAGATCTTAATTCATCTATCCATGGCTTCGGCAGTTCCAGCATTTCGTTCCACAAAGGAGACCACTAATTATGCCAGATTATGTCGCCTTCTTGTAGATGTTGGTTGTCATGCACTAAGGGAGAGATTTGACAAAATTCATTCACCTGCTGGGCTTTTTACCCTTTTACAAAATCCTGCAGTACATGGAACACTGGATTCACTTCGCAAAAAGAGAGTTCTGAATCCATCACAATGGGGCAAACTGTATCCTGCTATCAGATCTTCAGTAACTTCAGTTAACTTTGACATAACCCTGCTGATGGTTCTTCTAAGAAGTATTTGCGGTTTGACTCCTCCGGCCACTGGTTGGGATAATCTTCCACCAGCTACAGATCTTAGTGTAGAGGCTGACATTGCCCGTGTTAAGTTTTATAGAAACAGGATGTATGGTCATGCCAGTCATGCCTCTGTTGATGATGTAACATTCAGTACCTGCTGGAATGATATAACTGACGCAATTGTGAGACTTGGGGGATCGCTGTACAGAGCCGCGGTTAATGACCTCAGAAATGAGCCCATGGACCGTGATGTTGAAGATCACTATAAAGAACTTCTGAAGCAGTGGAAGGTGGATGAAGACAACATTAAGATAAAGTTAGAGGAGGTAGGAGAGAAGCTAGAAGAACGTAAAGCATCAGTTGATAATCTTGAAGGAAGAAAGGCACCAGTGGCAGGTAAGTCCAAACTTGAGTTACAAAAGCCTGAGATGCCATTATTTTGACCATCTTTTTTTTTTTGCCACATAAAAATGGGATTTCAGGCAAATTGATATGAAGGCGCAAAAAGGGGATATACACCCCTCCCGTCTTTCCTGAACCTCTCACTAGGCTCCTGACCACATTTCAGGGATGTTGCTAAAATGGGGAACAGAGTCTGACAGTGAACAGTGAACACTGGGAACAGGGAGTGAACATGGGAAATGGGAAAATGAAAAATGGTAAAACAACCCACCCCCATCTGACACACTCTGAACCAAACCACCTTAAGTGTCCACTTCATCTCAGGTCAGAAGCCTGTGTTTTGAATGTCTGTGTTTTCAAGCCAACTTGTACATGTAATTGGGCTTGTTAAATCTTATAAATCACACTCTATAGGGTGTTTCAAAAGTGAGTGCTAATTTTTTCTTCGCTTAAATTTCACTGATTATTATAAATACCTTTTGTAAAACTTTGCATTGTATTAATTATTCATTTAACATTGAATAACTGAAAAATAAACCAGAATGTCTTCCTTTATGTTATCTAACATTTTATAAGTGGTGAGGTGTAGAATGTGTGAGCTCCCAAAGCGTGCCTGAAGGCACATTTTTCCAGGCGAAGTGTAGTCACTGTCTTAGCTCGTCCAGTGTTTTGGGGGCTGGATCTTTGTATGTTGTCTGGTCAAAGATGATCCAGATGGTCTCTAGGGGGTTCACATCATGTGAGTTTGCTGGCCGGTCGTCTTTTGCTATAAAGTTTCTAAATCCTTCTGGCACCATGTCTGCATGTGCGCCACCTTTTTGTCTTCAAGGCTTTCCAACCTTTGTTGGTCATATATCTTCATACTCTTGTGCTCGAAACTTTGAAATTTTGAAGCTGATTTTTTTTACCTTTCTGTGTTGTAGAATGAATTATTACACATATACTTACAGCTTTTTCGACAACATTTCTTACACATTTCAATTAAAAAAATGGCCATCCACTCCTTGGTTTGTCCTCTAAAGTCTTTACTTTTGACCAATAATTATTCACTTATATCGTTCAGACTTGTTCAACAGTTAAGCAATTTCTGTGCCTGAGTGGCTAGGAGACTGTAAAAATGGATGCCTAAGCATTAGCACAAACAGTGCAGGCCTTCATTTTCGTGAAAGAGTACAGAAAATTAAAAAAACGAAAATATAACGTACAAAATGGGCAGGAAAAGTATGGCGGGAAAAAAACTCGCGTTCGTGCACGTTTGGGGCAAAACTTCAAAAATAATTCTTCAAATTTTAGTTTGAAATTGCTTTGAAAGGTTATTTAGATAAATTTCTTACTTGAATCAGTTTACATTTGCCTAAAGAAGCATTAAATGCTTTTTTGCAAAATACAATTTACAATTGGAACGAACTTTTGAAACACCCTGTTTATAGATATCTGTTTGGCATGCTTCTTTTTACTGCATGATATGTTCATGAGTACATACAGCACTTTTTTTCACTTTCATTGAGGAAAACAGCCAACAATTTGTGGCACAACAAGAGTTTCCTGCGAAATGATGGCTGAGAAACATGCGCAGGAATTCCTTACTGATGATGTGGCTGGGTAGTGCTTCTGATTTTTTGAAATTGCTTCATCCAGGCAGAAGCACTACCAGTGGCGGATCTAGACCCTGACATAGGCGGTCATGTTGAAACGCAGACCATGCAGACTGCAGACAGCAGACTCTGCAGACCGTGCAGACTGTGCAGACTGAGTATTATTTTTTTACTTGTACCTTAATTTTCTAGTAAAATTTTTACTATAGTTTCCTGCTTCCTCTCATTATGTGCACTGTGCATCACCATCATATGTGCACTGGTGTGTATACCTGCAAGGGTCATGGGTAGGAAATGAGAAAATTACGGGCTCATGTTTACCAGGAGGTGTAAAAGCAGTTTCGCATGCTTTTAGCTGTGCTGCTTTCAAGCAGGAGCGAGCACGAAGGAGGAAGGTAAGCTGTTTCTTTCTGTAACGTTGTATTATATTGCCATGATTATTTTTTTTAGTAGAAAAAGCTTTTTCAGGTTAAGTGACTTAAAATAAAACCCTTTTCAGCTAATCCTACAACGGCTACGAGAGAGACATTTCCTCAATTTCCTTGATTGTTGATGATCGTCTTTGGTTTCACTCTGTAATTCAAACCGGTGACTTGCCGTCATTTCTTCAAATCTTACAGATACCGATGTCATCGTTGTTAGTTCGGTCAGTTACAGAAAGAAACAGCTTACCTTCCTCCTTCGTGCACGCTCCTGCGTGAAAGCGGCGCAGCTAAAAGCACGCGGAACTGCTTTTACATCTGCCGGTAAACATGAGCCCGTGATTTTCTCATTTCCTACCCATGACCCTTGCAGGTATACACATCAGTGCACATATGATGGTGATGCACAGTGCACATAATAAGAGGAAGCAGGAAACTATAGTAAAAATTTTACTAGAAAATTAAGGTACAAGTAACAAAATAACACTCAGTCTGCACAGTCTGCACGGTCTGCATGGTCTGCGTTTCAACATGACTGTGAGATGGCGGGGGGAGGGGGGGGGCACAAAAAATTTTTTTTTTCAGGCCCCAGTTTGGTCTAAAAATAAGTGGGGCAAGGGGGGGGAGGTCAGGCCCCCCGGACTCCTCCCCTAGATCCACCACTGACTACCCAGATTTGGGTAGTGACATGTCATTAGTCTGGAATTTCTGCGCTCATTCCTCAGACATCATTTTGCGGGGAAACCAGTGGTAACATCGATCCGAAAATGTTGGCTGTTCTCTCAGGCTATTTTCGCACTGCCTTTAACAGATGAAGAAGAGCATTGCTCTATAAGATTTTCAAACCCATTCGTTAATCGCCTGACTTCCTTGTCGCTACCCATTCTGTTCGTGGATTAACTTTTCCCCAAAACAAATCCCACCTCTGCTTTTGTTATAGGCCACCATAAAAAATACCATAATATTGTCAAATTGCTGTTTGGGCAGACCTTCAGGCTGATGTTCTCATTTAGTTTTGTGCTTTGCAGGAACTGCAGGTTCAATGGTCGATTTCCTAAAATACCATTTTTCATATTTAAAAGCAATAGAAAGCGTTTTCCGTGTTTGCATAGCCTGATATAAACACGAGACGGGTTGGGAGAATTCGAGACAGTTATGCCCAACCCAAGACGAAGTCGAGGGTTTGCATAACTTCAAGAATTCTCCCAATGCCTTGCCAAAAAATGCAAAACTCTTTGTATGGCACTGATTGAAAGAGAAATTCTTACCAGTAGCAAAGTCTTGTCCACGAAGTCTTGCATGCGTAATCAGTTCTTGTTTTCCAAAAAGATGCTTTCCAAAATACGGAGTTTTCTCGCTTAAAATGTCAGCTTAAGCGAAGAAAAATTGACACACCTTCTTTGTAACGATTTTCCAAGTTTCAGCCGACGAAGGAATGGGTAAATAAAGTAAACTTGTGGAGTTTTGAACGCAAAAACGTTTTCAAATTCGTGCTCGCGGGATTAGCGAAAAGCAAAACGTCTTGACACCACAACCATGTTTACATACTCTCATGCAAACACTCCTCTTGGCCAATCAGAGCGTGCGTACTACCTTAGTTATTTTATAAAGTAATCTATACTGTGTATAATTATTGCAGCCTTTTTAACTTGTGGGTACACGCGAGCGTACCACGAGTTATTGCAGGGACACAGATATGCAAATGAGTCACTCGCTCACTCGTAGTAGACGCACTTCGTAATTAATCGGGTCCGAACTCGAGAGCCCGAAGATCTATCGTTTCCAAAGAAGCACGCGCTCGCCGAAGTTCGGTAGCATCAAATTCCTCGCTGAGAGCGTGCATCGTGCGCTACAGCACGGTGAGGATAGAGGTCTTACCAAATTTAAGACACGCAGGAATCTTTCACTTAGTACGATTCAAAAGCCTTTGACCCGTCCAGGCGTTAAACTTGACGAGAAGATGAGCATTTGCTCTTCGACTCCTTCAACTTCGACGCTGGCTTGATCTCCTACCTTGTAGTAGTGTAGTAGGTTATGTGTATNCTCCTTCAACTTCGACGCTGGCTTGATCTCCTACCTTGTAGTAGTGTAGTAGGTTATGTGTATGAATGAATTTATGGCGGTCAGTATAAAACACGGACTGCGGACTACGGACTGGGTATAAAATACGGACTATAAAATACGGACTGGTGAAATGTATGGTAAATAAAGGCACTTCTTCTTCTTCTTCTTCTTAAGGACTCCCCAAGATCAGGGGGGGAAATGGATGTGAGTTTGAGCATTACCTTTAAAATAACAGCGGAAATCGAGATAAGAAAAATATAAGCTAATGTTTTGCGTCCTACTTCGCGGTGGAGTTGTGTCGGCTTTGTATCGCATATGTTCTTTCATTGCCATGAAATGCGTTTACATTGTTTTTTACTATCAGTAGCCAGGTTTCAATTAGCCTTAATTTTATCCGATTGCTTCGAGTCGTTTTTTCAATCGGTTAAGTATGGCTCGATCTTTTGCCCCGGTCGTTTGCCGGCGGAAGTTCCATGGAAAGGGAATTAAACTTAAGACTTTTCACCATATCATGTGACCATCCTCAATGGCGTAGTGGCTATGTGAGGTCGGGTCAACCCGATGGTACCGGGTTCAAATTCTGCTGAGGACCTTCTTTTTCCCTTCTTCCTTTTTTCTTTTTCTTTTTTGTTTTGTCTTGTTTGCTTATTTGTTTTGCTGGGTTTTTTTGTTTTTTTGTTTTTAAATATATACTTATATAACTGTTACTAAAGTGCAATAAACAGCAAGAAAAGTATTGTGTTTCCAGAACAAGGAAAGTATATTTATAATCTGAATTTCTATCATGTCCTAAAATTCACTGTTTGAAAACCAGAGGTGATAACTAATTGATTATTTTCTGAACAACGTACCCACGAGTTGACGATAGTCTTTCTTTGATTTGTTACAATGGAACAATAGAATTCAGAGAATGTAATTAGGAGCCTTAATTTCACGAGAACCTGTAGCTTTAACTGTATTTCTGATTAAGGAGTCCTTCCAAGAGATACCAAGAGATACTAAACTGTTTCCTTGCAAGTACACTGATCAGTAATATACAAATTTTCAACACACTCAGATACATTGTACAAGCAAATTGTGCACAGAAGATATTTTTGCAAAAGTAATGTTTACATGAAGAACTACCCAAACAGCAGTTTGAGGATATTATAATGGTATTTTTTGAAGTGGCCTTTATGTATGTTTGTTGCAATGTATGTATGCATGACATTGTTTTCAGCAGTTGGACCATAAAATACAGACCTGTGTACGTCTCTGATGTCAAAATGCCTGCTGGGCTATTGGCCATCATGGACCACAATACAATTACAGATTAGAACTGAAATTTAATGAAAATAAAACTAAAATAAATCAAAACAAAGTACTGTTTAATTTAAACGTTAAAAAAAGAAGATAAAATAATAGTGAAGACGAAACTGAAAAAAATAAATTTTGAAGATGAAAGGAAAATAAGGAACATCACAGAAAAATTCTATAGCCCTATTGGGCCACTACACAAGCATGTGTCTTGAAAACTATGTGATATATTATATTTTTCTTGATTTTTCCATAGCTGTGCTTGTTGTGAACACCATTGAGACAATTGTGCAAGGTGGAGTTGTGATCAACGTATTTAATCCGCCTGGTTCCTCTCAGACAACACAACGCAACGATCACACGACTGAGTTAGACTATTGGAATTTGATTCTGTCATTAAGGAGACCTTTGGAATCCTTTTGTCAGTACTTGAAAAACATGCTGAATGTTGATGTACGACATCATGATACAGGCAGTTTGTTACTTACTGTTGAATGCAGGTCATTGCAGATCCTTGAAGGATTATGGGAAGACTACTGCAGCGGGCATCTTAATGAAATGGCTCAAGAATCTTTGATTACCGCTGAAGTCCTGGAAAAACTTGGACTTAGTGAGATCAAGTTGAAAACATTTATATCTGAAGAGGAGTACGAGAGAGGAAAGCAAATTTTCAGGGAGACCAAAGGTGATCCTGATTCATTTATTCAGTCATCTGCCAACTGCATATTTATTTTATACTCACCTGTGTTGCATGTGTCATCATGCTACCTTGAAGCGTTCAGATGGTCTGCCTGTGTGTAAACTTGTGCTTCTTAGCCTAAGTCATGGTAAAATGAGTAACAAAAATGTGCAGCTTGTTTCGAAACATTGCTGCAAAACAAGTTGAAAAGCAATGGTGGGCATTTTACCACCCTTGTTCAAACTTGACTTGCAACAAATCAGGTTGCATGAACACTGACTTTTGACTGGATAACATTATTTTTAGAGGGATTCACCCCATTCATTGGAGTTACATCACTTGATGCAAAACAAGTTTGTCTGGGGCCGGTAAAACACCCAACCTGTACAGATTTTATCCCAACCATTACAACTATTACTCCCTGCAACAATTTTCGCAACCCGCAATGATCTCATTTCTTGCAAGACTTGTTTGATTTGTGCGTGGTAAAATGTGCATCCTCGCTATTGAATTCGTTTAGCAGCAATCAATGTTGTAAAACAAGGTGTACGCACATTTTTTGTGCCTGTTTTACCCGTACCCTAAGAAAGTTGTGGTTTATTCGTACAGGTGGAAATGCAACAAGTACCTGTAATAGAATGTTCAGGGTGAGCCCCGAGTGGGCTTTGTTATCAAGAATGTTTACAAGTCCCTGTACATCCCATAAAGCAGATAATTAACCTTCTAAGTTCAGGTTTCATACAATTGAGGCTTAAATTTGTCACGTGGAAAAATTGGTGGTAAGTATCTGGCCTGATCAGAGTGTTTTCTTCTGTGTCATTGTTTGAGCATATGCCAGGGGCTTTTTAAAATTTGTAGTGCTTTATTACAACACAGAGGGTACAAAATATTTACACATATAAATGGAAAAGAAAAAGGTTATATGATGAATACATTAAATAATTAGATATTGTTGACATAATTACATTAACTGAACTCTCTTGTTTTTCTTACAATCTGCATTCCATTTGGTATCGTAGATTGATTCTATGCCAAGGGCTTTCCAAAGCTTGTTTTTCCACCTTATAAACAGAAATGTATGTAAAAAATGAATTTAGAAGAAATAAATAAATATATATATATATAATTAATATACGTAAGCACCGGGTCACTCTCAGACTTAGGATGATAAACTCAGTTGGATTCTCAAGCACTGACGAATTTTATCTTATCACACCACGCAAACCTTTTTCAGGCCACAAATCATTTGTGAAGCCATGTTTTTGAGAGGGTCATTAAAACTTCCTACTAAAAAACATATTGACCTCACGGAGGCCCTTGGATATTTTGATGTTCAGGTTGATTGGTTTCTCCACTGTCACAGGTGTCCATTATCTAATTTTCTGTTTTTTGATCAACAGAAATGAAGAGTACTCACAGCGAAGCATTTGGACAAGAATCAAGCATGCCAAGCACAAGTGGCAGTGAGTCACAATTTATCAATGCCGTGTTTTTATGTAAAAATGCAAAGTTATTGGGGGAGCATGTGTCTCCCCCAGCTCCGCAGTCCCTGAGGGTTCGTAATCAATCCTCGCCTTCTTACAGGGTGCAAAGAAAATCATTTTTACAGCTTGCCATTCGGGCAAGCTGAAGCTAGCATTTACTAGCCCAGACGTCATTTCAACTAGCCCCAAAGACTTTTTGTTCTTCTGTTATTCAAACTCCTCATAAAACATCACTTGCCCGTCGGGCAAGTTAAAAACAGAATTCACTAGCCCGATAGCAAAATCCACTAGCCCCGGGCTATCGGACACTACTTTCTTTGCACGCTGCTTTCTTATCAAAATTTTTTTTGGTGCTAGTTAAAATGACTCTTTGGCCAGTCCATGATCCGTAAAACTGACAATCTTTGCACCGTTTTACCCTCTGTGAGTTCAAGTTTCAGATAACCATTTAGGGTAAAGTATTGCCAGTATTGTGTTCATACCTTGATTACCTGATATGTGGCTGTGTAAATAGTTGCTCCATTAACCCCTCTCAGATGCCATTTTGAAACACGAGCTTAGCAGTGCGTAGAATGCAATGGACTGCTCCAGAAATTACATTGGTGTGTAAAAAAATTGACACTGGCACTGTGCCCAAATCCCAGCGTGGGTACTTGAAAAAAGGGTGTGTTCACATTAGTCAGGGTTCGTACGCGTCTTGACAACCCTTGAAAACCCTTGAAATTCAGGAGTCCGATTTCAAGGCCTTGAAAGTACTTGAATTTCGTCTTCGGTCCTTGAAAGTCCTTCATTTTTTATTGAACAAGATCGAAGAATATCTGCTTTTACGGCTTTAAAGTAAATGAAATCAAGTGAAAACAAATGTTCAGGTAAGCAAGGCATAACGCTCCGGAAATACTCACGAATTATGTGATAACCTGTGTTTTTCGTTTCAGTGCTCTCTCTCTCCTTACTCTGGCGCATGTACTTTTAGCTACAAGTGCACAGCGCATGTCTGGTTTGCACATGTTTTTAAGCACTCGTTTGTTGGTATTTGTGTAATGTTTATTTTGGGTTTAGTTGAATGTCACAATACCAGGAAGGCGTCATTTTAATCAAAAATGGCTGGAAAAAGATGCCTATAAGTCAACTGGGCGGTTAACATTAATTGCTAAGTCTAATGGAATGAGAAGAACTGCGAGGCAGAAACAAGAACAGATTATGTCAATGGAAGATGAAATTGAAAACAAGCTAAAACAACTTAAAGGGTCACTGTAAAAAACTGGTAATGTTCTGCAGTATCTGTAAACCCAAAACACAAACACAAACATTTTTCTTGGTTTTGAGGTAAAGTTGTCATTAAAAAAAGTCCCTGAAATTTCTAGGTAGGGTCCTGGAAAGTACTTGAAAAGTCCCTGAATTTTTGGCCTGAAAAAGTGTACGAACCCTGATTAGTGCTCAGCCGGTGCAATACTCGGGCAACAGGTGCGAATGCTGCCTTAGTTACCTTCTGTTTGTTGATTAACAGAAATGAAGGGAACTCACCCTGAAGCATCTGGACATGAATCAAGCATGCCGAGCACAAGTGGCAGTGAGTCAAAATGTATCAATGCCATGTTTTTATGTGAAGAGTGGATGTCTTCCAAGGGAGGTTTGCCTACTTTCAATAGAGAATTTGCAATAAGTTTAGCTAAAATATCAAATGGCGAGATCAAAGTCCATTGCTATGTCTCTCGAAGTAGTGAATCAGATAGAGAGGACGCTAGCAAAAATAGTGTCAATTTAATCACTGCAACAAGCATACCTGGAACCTCGGATCCCCTGGATTGGCTTAAGATTCCTCTACCAGAACTTTCACATCCTGATATTGTGATTGGTCATGGCAGGAAGTTTGGCGTCCCTGCTTACTGCATTGCGAAAACTACAAACTGCAAGTGGGTGCAATTTGTGCATGTGTTTTGTGAAGATCTTGGAAAATTTAAACAAGCAGTTGCAGAAAACACTGATACAATTGAAGAAAATGAAAAGAAGCATAAAAGTGAAATTGCACTCTGCAAAGCAGCCGATGCTGTGGTTGCTGTGGGAACTCGATTACAGCTAAAGTACAGTAGATGTCTCCCAGACAGAGAAGTTCATGTCATCACACCTGGAATTTTTGAGAAATTTGTCAGCCTCGCTGTGAAAGAGGCCGGGCAAGTTACAAATGATCAAGAGGAATTCAGCATCTTTGTCTTTGGTAGAGGAACTTTTGAGGATCTTTCTCTGAAAGGTTATGACGTTATTGCTGATGCAGTAGGTTCTCTTGGAGAGAAATTTAAGATGACATTTGTTGGTTCACCTGAAGGCCAGCACAGAAAAATAGAGGAATGGTTACTACAGGAAACAAGAATAACACGTGATCAAGTGACTATTCGTGGATACTGTGATCAAGAAGAGCTGAAGAGAATGTTTCTCGAAGCAGACTTGGTCGCTCTTCCGTCTCGCACTGAAGGCTTTGGATTGGTTGCCCTTGAAGCTATTTCTGCAGGGGTTCCTGTTCTTGTTACTAGTGAATCTGGCATTGCCAAAGCTTTGGAGAAAGTGGAAGGTGGGCATTTGGCAGTTGTTAAATCAGGAAACCGGGAAGAGTGGCTCCAGAAGATAACACAGCTCTCCATGCAGAATCCAAAAAAGAGATGTGATGGTGCTGTTCGTCTCAGAGAAGAGTACTGCAGGATTTTCTCTTGGAAAACTCAGTGTGCAAAATTCAAAGAAATTGTGCAAGGTCTTACTGACAGGCCAACCATCGCAGTTGGATCAAATGGTATGCAATGTAACTACAGCACTGTAATCTAGGCCACCTTTTCAAAATAAAAAATCGGATTACATGAAAATGACAATTAGTACATTCTGCAAAAGAAGTTTTTTGAGCCAATTAGCAGCTCATAAGGAAAATAAAAACCTTTTTGAAGCAGAGAATTTAAATATTGATAGCAAAAGTTTCCAAGAAAGCAAAATTTATGATAAGACGATATTTTCTGTGTTTGTACACTGTAGGAGACATAATTTGTTGTCACAAGGCTGTAATTTCGTCATTTATATAAGCAATTGCTAAGCTAACTGCGCTTTTAAATAATGGTGAAGTCAAGCCAAAAATTTAACCAAACGGTTGTTTTTGTATTCCATAAATCACTCTTGCTAACGGACCTTTCTTCTGCGGGTCAAAAGTTCACGTCTCAGGGTTGTAATAACTTGTAGATATCGATTTCAGTCCATTTTGTTTTGTTTTTTTGTTTGTTTCATCTTAACTGTGGGTGACAGCCATTTTTCTCGGAATGTACAATGTTACTTTCCTGTAATCTGATTGGTCAATTTTATATAGGTGACCACCAGTTACAGTACGTAGTTGCACTGTTATCTAATCCTTTGTGTACCTCCAGGTCAGTATCTTGTCCTCAAATCGAGTTTTGACTTTTTTTATTAATGCTGAAAAAGCCAAAGGAGCAGAATGCAGATAATTATTACATGTATTTATATTTGAAGGTCAGTCTTAATAATATTATTGTCATACTAATAAAACTCTGAACACCTGGTGTTATTACCAAAAACAGCCAAAGGAGCAGAATGCACATAATTATTACATGTATTTTTATTTGATGGTGGTCTTAATAATATTATTGTCAAACTAATAAAACTCTGAACACCTGGGCCGAGTTGTTCAAAGCTGGGTTAAGATAACCCAGGGTTAGTGAGAGATTTGAATTCAGATTTGAAAGCTTAAAAAGCATTTCAGTTTTAATTCTTTTTGTCTACAAGTTGATGATTGAAAGCTCTAAAATTAACAGAGAGAATTATCTCAGAAAATACTTCTGAACACAAGAAAAAGAAACCCGAGTTAAATTTAACCCCGCGTTAAGCGCTAATCGGCCTTCGAACAACTCGGCCCTGGTGTTATTACCAAATCCCAGTGGAGATCAGGGCATATTAAATATAATTGTGTTAATTTGTTTAGATTCACCAACAACAGCTGCTGGGAACACCTTGAAAGGTCTAAAGGAGATGCCTTCTGTTCTTAATTTAATGAGGCGTATGATAACTGCACCAAATTTGGGAGCTGATATGACTGCAGAAAAAGACAACAATGGGAAAGAAGGCCAACCAGCAGAAAACAAGGACTCGACTTTGCTACACAGTGCAGCCGAGGGTGGCGATGTGTCCATCATTGAAATTATTCTATCCGATGGAATTGAAGTAAACACAAAAGATAGCTTTGGTGCAACGCCATTGATGATTGCTGCTGCAAAATGCAAAAAGCAGGCAGTAGATTTCCTACTCTCTAAGGGTGCAGATCCATCTCTGACAACCAACGTCGGAAGAAATTCACTTCATGCTGCTGCTGAGGGTGGTGACGTCTCCATTGTGAAGGCAATGTTATCACATGACATTCCTCTAGATTCGACTGATAATGATGGAATCACTTCATTAATGATCGCGGTTGCTTTGAATAACTTCGATACAGTAGAGTTTCTCCTTAGCGAGGGTGCAGATCCATTTTTGAAAACTAATGAAGGGAGGACTGCTTTGTTTTTTACTGCTCTAGGAGGCCACACTGGTGTCATAAACCTCGTGCTTTCTTGTGGTTTGGAGATTGACTCACAAGATGATGAAGGCGTTACAACATTAATGTGGGCAGCAGTATGTGCCAATTTGCAGGCCGTACGTTGTCTGCTTGAGAAAGGTGCTGATCCACTGCTGACAGCCAATAACGGTTGGAGCTCTCTACATTTTGCTTCTAAGGGGCTAACGCAGCAACTATTGAGACTCTCCTCTCATATGGAATTGATGTTAATGTTAAAACGGATTCTTTGATACGTATGACACCTTTGATGGTTGCCATTACAAATCAAAACATGGAGGCCGTAAAGGGTCTCCTTGAAAATGGGGCTGATCCATTAGTAGAGTGTAGCCTTATACAACACAGTTCGCTGTTCTTTGCTTTATATCTTGGGAATTCTGAATCTACTGTCTTGTTCATGATTGAAGCCATGCTTTCAAGTGGACTTAACATCAATGCCCAGAGCAGTTTTGGCTGGACAGCTTTGATGTGTGCGGCTTTTTTAAAGAAGCGTGAAGTTTTCGATTTTCTTCTTTCTAAGGGAGCAGATCCGTCTTTAAAAGACAAGGTTGGAAGGACTGTGCTGCACCATGCTTCAGAAGGAGGTGACATCACCATCATTGAAAAGTGTCTTTCATGTGGACTTGACATTGAATCTAAAGACAATGATGGAAAGACAGCTTTGGATCTCGCGGCTTGTAGTGGTAGCCGCGATGCTTTTCGATTTCTGAGAGAGAGACGTTCGATAAAGAACAGTTGAAGCATACCTCTCTGTTTCACTAGAAAGATTTAAGTTGTTGATCTCTTCTGGGGCTCCTCTTTTCATTTGAGGCGCATTTGTTTATTTCAGTGATAGGTTACTTGAGTGTTGTTTTAATGTCTCACCGCAAGAACTATGCCTTTGTATTGTTTCACTATAATAGCCTTGCAAGTTCGTGCACTAATCTTTAAACCTCATGAAATTATATGTCCCCACACCACTCACAAAACTTTGTTTGGTACTCCGTTCCAAACTCACCCCATGTAGGGGAATCGAAGAAAGTCATTGGATTCTGGACTGCACGTTGTGGATTCCGGATTCCATGCACTGGACTCTAGTCTTTGTCAGTGGAACTTGGATTCTGGATTCCAAACGTTAGTGGGATTCCGGATTCCTTGAGCTGTATTCTGGATTCCAAAGCCCAGGATTCCAGATTCCACAAGCAAAAATTTCCTGGATTCCGGAATCCGGATTCCCTTACATGGGGCAGAGTCCCCATAGTAGATAGTGTTGAGCGCCACGAAGTGAAGAGGGGAGCCAAAAAACAAACAAACAAAAACGGCCTCAAGAATCTGAACAGCTCGACTCGGATAAGCTGGGGGATCTGGTACTTTCCTTGCTAGCAGAGGCTTCTTTTCCCTAGTATCTGATGAGTGGCTCTTTTCCTGCCGCCCACCTAATACTAAGGGAAAAAGGCCTCTGCTAGCAGGGAATTTAGTACTATACATTTGTAGACATTTACTTATTTACCTATCCTTTGCACAGTAATGATCATTGTTTCTTTTATTTTTGCTATGTAAGCTGCGTGCGTATTTCATACCTATCTATAGGGGCCATCACGTTTTTAACACGGTCGATATATCTAGGCCTCGGTCTGATATCTCCCTGCAATGACCTCACTCTTGGTTAATAAGTGGTATTTAATTCCACTGTTTTATAATTCATCAACCCAGTTGAGTTATTTTAGTGTTTACCCAGGCGAATACTACCTATTGACCTGTTATATCTTTGCTGGATAATGAATGATTTTAACAAAGCCATTTGTAGAAGACGTCATAAACTGCCTTATTTAAATTTGGAAATTTGGGTAAAATCGTTTATTTTGCTACCCTGTTTCAAGACAAGAGACCCTATTTAATGACACTGATATACGATTCATTTCGTTTTGCAGACAGAAATAATTTTTTTAAAAACTTTGATCATGGAGTTACCTTTTTTTTTGTTTTTTGTTTTGTTTTTTTTACAAAAAAAAGGATCTGTACAGGTCCCGAAATGATCCCGACCACGAATGATCCCCAGTTCAGGGTTGGGGATCATTTCGGGGGATGTAAAGATCCTGAAAACAATACGCTGTTAGCGTCACATGCCTGTTAGGCCAAATATGGGAGCCCCCTACTGGGAAGGGGGGGTTAGGTTGCATTTGCAATAAAATGGAAAAAGAAGCATGAATGTCAACGTAGAAACTGTTAAGTCTTCAGCTTGTAGGTCGAAAAACGAGAAAAAAGCTGTTGTTATTCGTTAAGGTGTAACTGTTTTTTGGTAGATCATGGCTATAGTAAGCGTTGCAGAACCAGTTGCACGACAGCTTGTTCACAAACTGTGAATTGCATCACCAGCATAGCTTTACATTGTTGAATAGACGTGCTTTATAAAATATATGTACTGGAACGCTAGATTACGTTTGCACCAGGTTCTCTGTGTTCTTTACTGTAATAAGGCTCTGTCAATACCGCCAGCTACGCAGGCTAGTTTGTCGACTATTAGCCTGAGTAGCCGGAGTCGAAAGGGTATAAGGGATAGGGAGGAGGGGAAAAAGGGAGGGGGTTGGGAAGAGAGGGTTTCCCTATTTTCCGCTTTCGCGCTTTTCTCCATTCTCGTCCCCAGAACCTCCTGGAGACCTGAGTACGAGGACCAGGAGGCTCTGGGGACACAGATGATTCTAGGAATTCCAGTCATTTCGTTTCTAATAGCGGCAAGAGCCATACTCTTGATAGCGGTCACTTGCTCTTGCCTAAGTGTCCATGACTGTAAATCCTCCAACTTACTATTGAATCGGAAATGACCGGAAGTCCTAAAATCTAGGACTTCTAACTCTGTGTCCCCATAAGTGTCCCCATAAGTGTCCCCAGAGTCTCCTGGTTCTCTTGCTCAGGCCCCCAGGAGGCTCTGGGAACGAGAATGGCTTTTCCCCCACCCCCTTCCCTTTTTGAGGCTGCCACGCTGGCTATCGAGTATTTATCAAGTCGTGTTCCCACAGTAAGGCATTTGACATCAAAGTTCGCCCACGAGTGGGACCTTTCTGCGAGAGAGTTAACAAGTTTAAATATCTTGGGGTCCTCCTAGACAACACCCTATCTTGGAGGGACCACGTAGAATATATCGGTAACAAGATCTCGTCTAGATTAGGTATTCTACGTCGAGCGCGTAAGGTTCTTCCCAAACCAACTTGTCAAATGCTCTACAATACAGTCGAACCTCTCCTTACGGACACCTCTCTAATACGGACAATTTACTTGGTCCCGGGAAAATGCCCATACATTCTTTGTAAACATAACCTCTATAATACGGACAACGGACACGAAATCTCGGCCCCAGAGAGAAAATTCATACAAACTGAACCTCTTTATTACGGACACTCCAATGATGACAGTTCTTATTCAACACGATTTCCTGTTTGTCGTTACATATCAGAGTGTAATCAATTGTCTCATTGTTCATACGATAACAGTATCATGTTTTCAATCGGTAAAAATTATACTGTCGACATGTCATTGCCATTTATCATCAAGATTTCTTATTCTTTGAAGACTCTCCAGTTGTTGCTTTCCTTTTTCTACCTCTTTTCTTTTCGACATTTTCACTTGAAAGACTATTTTTACGGACAGCTGGGTTTTCTGTAAGATCCAAGCACTTCCCCAAACGCTCAATGAGTTTGTGCGGTCCAGTGAAAATATATTCACATGGGATCTCCATGCCTAATCCTCCGCCCCGATTGACTGCCTTCCCACATACGTTGACAACTCCATTGGTCCCAGGCTTTGCAAGAAAATGTTTTATAAGTCCCAAACCCTCTTTCGTATTGACCAACATCAAATGCACCTCAAAGCCTTTTTTGGGCCAATTTTGACTTAAAGAACACTTAATACCATCAATGGAGCCTTTAAAGTGACGTAATATTCATGACCTCTATACAACGGACACCTCTCTAATACGGACACTTTGCTCTGTCCCTTCGGTGTCCGTATTAGAGAGGTTCGACTGTACTTTAGTCCTGCCATTGTTCGATTACTGTTCGCCTGTCTGGGACAGTTGTGGGGTTGGGAGCAAAGCCTATCTAGATAAGCTAAATAGATGCGCCGCATGTATTATTGAAGGTCGATCTATCGGGGCTGAGAAGTTAAAATCAACATTTGACTGGCCTAGCCTACAAGCACGCAGAAATTATCTCAAATGCGTCCTAGTCCATAAGAGCTCATAAGTGTCTCTTCACGGAATAGCGCCTTCGTACTTACTTTCAGAGTTTAAACACGCGCACCTTTTCCATGGCGATAACACCAGAAGTCGTTTTTTGCTGCGCCCTCCCTTCGCAAAAACTACCAAATACCAAGGTAGCTTCAGAATAAACGGTGCTCGGACCTACAACACCCTAACCAGAATCATTAGACAAGAAGAGACCCTCAGTGAATTCAAAATCAAGCTAAAACGCCACTTTAAACAGTAACACGAGCGTTACATGTTGTCTTAACTTAATTAATTGTCTAATTTTAATGTCTTTGTTTTTGTGTTTTGTCAGGGCTCCATTTAAACTAGTTCTGCTAAATTGGATGCCCCTGGTTAAATATTGAATTAAAAAAAAAAAAAAAGTACTCACTGTATTGCTGCCCTCTCCCCATGTATTATTATCATTGTCATTATCATTATCATTACCCAAGTTATTAAAAGTGATACCACCTAATCGTAGGCTAAGTTAGGATCCAGTCATGATTGTTCGAAAGGCGGAAATCATTAGTAGGGAGCTTAAGCAACTACGACGACGACCACAAAGACGACTTCAAAAAAACAATAGGTTTAATGATCAAAACAACAGCTCTGCACGTGCATCACGCTTTTTAGTACATTTCTTTGACGTCCACTGCACGACTACGACTTGAAACCTCCTAATTTGACATTTTATTGAGGACGTGGACAAACGACGACGAATTTTCCTTCCTCTTTTTCAACCTGAATAAAATCCTTAAGAATTCAACTTCAGGAAAAGTTGCCTGCATTTGACATATTGAGCGGGTCCAAATAGACGCGATTAAGTTTGAAAGCACGCAAATTCATTTTTTTACCGACGTTTTCACTGCCGTCGTCGTCGTCCTTGTTAAGGTCCCTAGTGAGTTCACGCAACAGGACGGCAGAGAGAAGAGGACGGTAAGTTCACTCTAAGGGGGTTTACCCAACGACGACGGCGACGGCTACGAAAACGTCACTTAAAAAGTGAATTAGCCC